CATTCCCCTTCTCCTCCCCTCTGTCCGTCACTCCTGCGGTAACTATGCACTGGCGGACTACCGATAGAATTGAGGTACTTGGAAGGCGGGTGGACCTCATGGATGGGAGGGGGGTGGTCCTACATAGATTAGCATAAAGCTCGAGAATATTCTGGAGATCTCTGCATAGGTGCAGAGTTAACCCATTAGTGTGAATTCACAGAGTACCACTCGAAGAACCAGAGTTACAGGTAGGTAACCTCTCTTCTTGTATCTGCAGAAAAGCTCTTGGTTTTGGTATAAATTGCTCTTACATTTTCTGAAGAAAATACCGGATCAGCATGTCCCAGACTAATATAACAGTAAAGTATCTTAATGGGAAGGTTTCTTAGAGGTAGAGGTTTTTGCTTCTGAAAAATAAATTAACCGTAGTTACCAGCATCAGTTTTTACACCACCCACAGTTTACAGTTTACCTGTTGCAGAGTTCTGTTCTTTAGCAACCAATTTACAGAAAAACAGCGGAACGTAATATAGACCTTCTGATGGTAGGATAGTCTCTTAAAACCAAAATTGGTTTAGGGTTTGAACTGCTTCTATGGTCGTCAGTGCAGGAGTGAAGGCAGACAGCCTCAGGATCTTTATCTTCATTTTGTTACTAGAACTACAATAATGCTGCAGATAGCAGTCTTCCAAATTCCAAATTAAATAGGCAAATATTGCAGGTCTCATTAGAATGACTATTTCTGTTATCACAGAAAGAAGGACTTGTTGGCAAATGTATCTGTATCCATTTGTCTAATTTAAATAACAGTGCATGGCGAAGTAGCAGTGGCTTACATAAAAAGAAAATAAAACAAACAAACAAAAACAACAACCAGACACCAACTCACTTATGGTGCCTGGATCAATAGCTTTATTAATTCATCTGGAGTTATGACTTTTATTTGTATAACTGAACATATGAAATCATTTTAGTGTTAAATTTTATGTTTTGAACAATTTGTTAAAGGGTAGTACAGAGAGCGTATGCTGGTATTTTGTCCCAAATCCCTCAGAAGACAGATTTTCAGATTAGTGCCATGTGCGGGCAAGAGTAGCTTTAAACAATAAGCTTATTATCGATACCCATATAACTGGTTACAATTCAGTTTATTCAATATAGGTGTTACTTTAAGTTTACATTTATCCTCCTGTGTTGATAGTTTAAATATAACTTGGACCTAGGAATTGAAACTGCATGTTTGAAATATTTGAAAGTAATAGAGTTAATAGTAGAAAAGGCACATACGGTAGTTGCAGAGAAAGTGCTATAAAATTTTAACACCCCATCCCTGACATTACAGCTTCATCTGTAATAGTGCTATTAAAACATAGGCTGAGCAATTTGATAATTATAGAAAGCTGTTTGGGTGTCAGGTGTTCCTGATGAATTAGTATTTCTCAATTTATTTGCTACTTTCCTTTTGTATTGAAAGTATGCAGTTATGAACATATGGAAAATTAATGGGATGTACATTTTCAGCTTTTCATGAAGTTCTAGTTACTTATTTTTTTAAATATGAAACACCATATATATTAGGACACAGAGAAAATGTAGAACTCTGTACCTTCAATCCTGCAAACACTGAAGTTGTTTGCCTCCTACCAAAGGAATTTGAGAAGGCTTAAGTGTGCACAGGATTTCAACATTTATACTTAACTAGAGCAAAGGAACATTTGTTGCATTTTACATTCTCTTTATTAATCAGCCTATATTTCTTGAAACCAGAGGAGCTATAAAGTAGTTCTTGGTAGAAAAAAAATAAGGGACCATAAGGTTTGGCTTTTCAATCCAAATCTTCAAAGGACTTTTAATAGGTTATTAAATTTGAATAGAACATTTATGGATTATTACAGAATCTTGCCATATGCATACTCATATGCTTATTTTGTATCATGTGAGACATTATGCTAGTGCAGGGCCATGTAAGGCTAATTACAACATTTTATTCACTTATGCTTTGAAGCACATGGAGCCACAGATATGGAGGGGAGATTGCTAGTCTTACTCTTTCATTCCTTTTCACATGGAAAAGAGATATTCTGTAGATGAAAAATTTGCTGTACCTAGGTCCCCTGTTCACATGAAGATGAACCTTGTTTTGGGTGGTTCTAACTTATATAGACAGGCTACTCAGGAACTAAAGCTCTGCCCTTATAGATAGCCACATTTCCATGTGAGTGCAGACATTCAAGACATAAATCTGTTTAACTGTGCAGAATTAGCACTATTCTGTGAAAAAGAAAGTACAGCTTCTTTGAATTATGTGGTTTTACATATCAATAAAAAAAATCTGGTCCTTAGCAGCTCTTAGGTAAATACAACCTCAAATGAACAACAGCACATGGCATATTACACTGTGGCATGATTTATTTTACAAAAATAAAGCCAAAATGGAGAAGCGAAAGAAGCACAGGCCATGTATCATCTATTTTGCATTTGGATTTTATTTTATTTGGACCACATGGCTACCTTTTACTTCAATGAAATTATGAGGATTCCAAGAAAAAGCTGCTCCTACCCCCCCTATACCAACAATAAGACACATGGACTTTCAATGTCAGCAGAACAGGACTGCAGCCACTAGGTAATATCATTTTTACTTTAATCTGACCCCAGTTGGCAAAACCTAGTGAATTTACTAAATTGTCATTCCAATTCTCAGATGGAGGACTCAGGTTTTCTGTGTCACCCCTCCCCTATTGGCCAAGCAGAAACATATCTGTTTTGAACAAAGGCCAAATGGTGTGATAAATGGTATGGGTATGCCTGTGCTTCTTTCTTTGGAGAACTGGTTTGGTTACATTCATTCCACAGATGGCTAAGCTACAACCATAAAACACCAACCAGACTCTTGACTTCCATCTAAGAGACAAGCCTGGCGAAACCCATCTTGCCAAGAATTGCTGGACTTAACATCTAAGAGCAACTTTCCTGGCAAAACACATCTTGCCTTGTATATTTAAACTTTAATTTTTGGACATTAAGTTCTTCACACTTGTACAAACCTGATGAAGTGGTCTTTTAACCCAGGAAAGCTCATTTATTGTATGGAGATTTTTAGTGGTCTGTAAAGATATCATCTATTTTTGCATTTGGATTTTGTTTTAAAGGCATTAAAGATGTTCTCTGGAGAGATACTAAGCAGTGAGTGGGTGGATGCTCATTTCAGGTTAGAGTTCTTAACTGGAAGCTTTTCTTGGGTTCCAGTTAGGTACAAACGTACATAAAGTTTGCATTAATTGCCATGGCTAGTTGCATCTATTTAACGAAATGTTGGAGCATGCATTGATCCCATGCCTGTCATATACCTGACTGTGAACTGAAATATACCCTTGTACCTCCTTAAGTTAGCTGCAATTAGCCACGGACCAAGTGACAAAAAGCAGGCAGGAATTTTGCTCTGTTTAGAACATTTTGTGCAAGTGAACTTATTAAATCCCTGGTAAATAATGCTCTAGGGAAAGACAGCTTTGGAAGGGGCAGTTTTTATGGAAGAAGTACTGGGGAAGGAGGACTAATCTTTCACTTACCCACAATTGCTGTTGCTACTTCGCCTGTCCCCTATTTCTTCTTCCTCAAGGGTTCTTATTATACATTCAGCTTCACATGCTACTTCCAGTATGTGTTTTTGCAACAAGTCACAGAAGATATTTTAGCAATTTTGTTCTTGCATTCCTTTCAGTTATGGAGAATGTATTGTGTTGATTTGTAATAGGCAAGGTTGTCTGCAGAAATAATTGAGGATGACAGCCCTTTAAACCTATGGATTGTTGACCTGACTGTACTTTTTATACTGTTGTATTATTATATTGTGTCTGTCGAATGTATATATCTTATAAAACTTCTAGAAACAGCATCATCATGAAATGAGAATTAAGCTGCCTGCTTGTCCAGTCAATTCTCCTCAAGAACGAGGCAAGTGATCCTAGTGTTGCAGTTGGAACCTTCCATGGATCTCATTGTTCTCGGCAATGGCTTTTTCTTTGCAGTTGGAGAGTGTTCTTTTGTTTAACGTACCTGAGTAAATTTAAAGAAATTTAGGATTCTTTTGCTTCCTTCTGCAACACCCATGGTAGTAGGTGACCTAAATTTCATCAGCTAGAAAAATATAATGCTTTGATCCAAAATAAGTTGCTCTTAGAACTGTCCTTTTTTAACATAGAGTAGGCTTGGAAGGCCTGCAGTGTTGAGCCATAAAGGCAAGTGGAGATTGTTAGTGATATATCATCTCCCAATAGAGACCCATGGAGTCTTATCGTTCTTCGTAGTGGCCTCTGTGAATGCACACAATTAGTTTCTTCTGCACCTGCGCAGGATGTTCAGAAGATTCTAGAGCTTAAAAAGAGTAACAATTTAGTCCCCCCCCACGGTGCGAGTGCCGCTTCCTCAGCTTTCCCCTCAGTTCCTTTTTTCCCGCCGTTGGGTTAGGATGTGAGGAATGTGAGGAATAGTAGAGCTTTGAGGAAAGTGAATATACTAATTTTTCTTAACTTTTCTTAATTTTCTATCATTTTTCAACCTTTAATTGTTATTAGTTGTCCCCCTAGCGATTAGAATCCTCATTTTTTGTTCTTTTCACTTCTCCCCCGGGGTTTCCCCCCTTTTTCTTTACTTATCTCTTCTTTGTTTTAAGCCCCTCGGGGCTTTAAGAAGTGTTCCATTTGCCTCCGCAAGATCCCGCTAATGGACGGACACGATAAATGTCTTTTTTGCCTGGGGGAATCTCATCAAACCCAGTCGTGCGCCGCGTGCAGAAGCCTCTCTAAGCCAGCAATTAAGATGAAGCTACAGCGCCTAAGATCCATCTTGTACGAGAAGTCCTTGAATCCTGCCATGGAGGTGCAGACCCTTCCCCCGTCCATCCCTCCAAGACCGGAAGCTACCAAAGCCGTTTCACGCCCGACTACTGAATCTCTATAATCTCATGACATCAATACTTACCAAACCGGAAGACTCTCATAAATCTTCTAAACCAGTCCCAGCCAAGAATCAGGCACAGCCCGACAACACTCTGAAGAAAAGGACAAGGATAAATCTAAGAAACAAAAGAAAATTACCAAGCTGACCATCGTACCCCCTCCTCCACCCCTGCTGCCTGTGGAGGATACAGAGAGGAGCGTGCAATATCTTCAGCCCAAGCACTCCTTGATGTACTCGGTATGTCTCCAAGCTCAGGCTGATCTGAGGCTGATGTACCTTTCAGCCTGGCCATGTCCCATCTTAGCCCTCGATCCTCAGGGCGGGCAGACATTGACATTGAGTCTGATCAGGAGTCCACACAATGTGCTCCAGGAAGAAGAACGGAGTAGTGTAGACATACCTCTCCATACCAACCTCTCAGGCATCCCGAAGGGCCATCGCATAATGGCTATCACTACTTCGACTGATATCATCCATGCCCATACTGTGGCTATGGTTACCCATATGAATACAGGGGACCCAGCTATCCCCCACCAGTTTGGTACTCTCTCATGGCTCCCCAGCCTGGAACTCCTCGACACCAAGTGGATACCCCTACATATCCAGTCTGATGTCCTCGAAAACAGACAGTGTCAACAGATACCACCATACCAGCAAAACATGCTAAATACTACAACAGGACAAATCACCACTGCCCAGCTTAAGCCTTATCCTGGCGCTACTCCAACTTGTAAAGGAGTCATGGGACAAGCCTCCCTCTGTGCTGCAGATTCCACGCAGAGTGGAACATCATTACAAAACTCATGGTACAGAAGTGGACTTTCTAGCCAATTTGATAGTAGTCGAATCCACACAGTATAGATCCTGCACCAGGTCTGTTATGACCCCAATGAATAGAGAGAGATGCAAAATTGACTCACCGGGAAGGAAACTGTACTCCCTAGCAGCACTATTAATTAGAATCTCCAATTACCAGGCGGTCATGGGTGCTTATCAAAGATATTTATGGGACAAAATACTCCCTACATTACAAGCAGCACCAGAACAAACGAAGTTGGAACTGATAAACATATACATTGAGGCTACGACTCTGGCAAAACAACGAAGAGTAGCCGCGAAGCACACTGCTGACACGGCATCAAAAACCTTGACAACCTCAATAGCTGTCTGGAGACATGCCTGGCTTAGGTCAGCCAACATTGTCGACAATACCAAGGCTAAGACAGAAGATCTCCCCTTCAATGCCGTGGGGCTCTTCAATGCCAAAACCGATGACATGATGGAAAACATCCATAAAATGAGGAAAACGGCGAAGTCCTATGTGCTGTATCAACCAAATTGATACCAAAAGTCTCCCAATAAGAAGCCTTTTATCAACAACATCATCAATACCAGCCGTTTCGTTCCAGTAAGCAGCAGTCACAAGAAAGACCATACCAACCGACACAATCCAACACTCTACAATTCAGGCAACAACAATACCAGAGCAGCAGACAGCCCTTTCGTAAACAGCAGCGATAGGGTAAGCAGTATCCCTAATCATTCCTATAGCCCCACGAGGCTTTCCCCGTTCCTGCCGGAATGGCAGAAGATAACAACTGACAAATGAGAAGGGTTGCCTTATAGAATTCTCTGAAACTGTTCCACCGAACTATATCAAGAGCAGCTCTTTCTCAGTAGCACTACGAGAGGAAATAATAACGCTCCTCCACAAAGGTGCTATTGTCAGTCCCATCCTCAGATTAGGATGAAGGGCTCCTTTTTTGCTATTTTGCGGTCCCCAAGAAAGATGGGAATATCTGACCCATCATGGACCTGAGAGACCTTAACAAATTTGTACGCTATAGAAAATTCTGTATGTTATCCCTTGACATCATTATCTCTCTTTTATCCCAGGAAAACTGGTTCATGGCCATCAACTTGAAGGATGTGTATTTCCACATAACAATACACCCCCTGCTCATCAAAAATTCCTCAGATTTCGATTCCAATATGTGACATACCATTTTTCAGCTCTCCCCTTTGGGCTATCAATGGCCCCCAGGACGTTCACAAAATGTATTGTTCTGGTTGTGGCACACCTTCGAATCAGGGGGGTGACAGTCTTCCCCTACATTGATGACTGGCTCCTAGTGGCCCATTCATATTACAGCACCATCAGGACTACGAAAATTACCCTGGACACTCTGCACAGACTAGGCTTAGAAATAAATCACCATCTCAGGTCATCAATTACATAGGAGCAAAACTGAATTCCATGGAGGCGAAGGTGTTCCTACACCTTCAAAGAATCTTGAAGATACAAGGTGCGGTTGATCTATTCCGACCTTAAAGAACCGTCATGGCCCACAAGGCACAACACCTACTGGGCCTCATGGCAGCCACAACCATAGTCGTCCTCCACACCAGGCTCAAAATGCGGCCGCTTCAAGCATGGTTTCTTCACCAATTCGATCCCATGAACAACAACTCGTCAAAATGTCTACTCATAACACTGGAATTGGTGGACCAACTTACCTGATGGACATCCATCTAGAACCTGTCAGCAGGCAGACCGTTCAAACCACCTCATCTGTCGATACAGGTGACCACAGACACGAACCTCTCCGGATGGGGAGCTCACTGTCAAGAACCCCAGATACACGGCCTGTGGACAAAAATAGAAAGAGCGCTCCATATAAATCAGCTAGAGATGCTGGCCATTATAAAGGTGTTTCGTGCCTTTCTACCGCGCATCGAAGGGAAAGCGGTCCTACTTGTGACGGACAACACTACAGCCATGCATTACATCAACAGACAAGGAGGGACACGCTCCTTACCCCTTCTTCACTTGACTATGGAACTTTGGGAATGGTGCCGTCTTTACTACATTTTCCCACAAGCTATCCACATATCGACAGATGACAACAGTTTGGTGGACCGCCTGAGCAGACTGACCATACGAGTGCACAAATGGTCACTATATGATCGGATCTTCCAAGACATCTGCTGCAGGTGGGATCAGCCAATGCTGGACCTCTTCACAACTTGACACAATGCCAAGTGACCCAGATACTGCTCAAGGGCAGGCATGGACACCTGGTCTCTCGGAGAAGCCTTCATAACAGATTGGTCGAGGCAACTCACCTATATTTTCCCACCTATACCCATGCTCCAGAGGACAATCATCAGGATAATTCAGTACTAAAAGGACGCTATACTGATCGCTCCATGATGGCCCCGACAAACGTGGTTTACCCACCTCAGAAGGATATCAAAAGAAGTGTTTCACTTACTGTCAATACCCATTCTTCTGTCCTAGAACGATAGAGCCATTCTCCACCCAGATGTGCAATCACTGAATCTGACTGCGTGGAGGATAACCCTGAGTTCCGTAGAGTCCTAGATCAGGCACAGGAACTGTCCACTGTGAGACTCTATGAAAATAAATTGTAATCATTCCTCAAATTTGCACAATCCAAGGGGCTAAGTCTGGTTCCTGCCTCCCTCAGAACAGTATTTACCTTTATCCTGCACCTGTTTAACCTTGGACTTGCACAATCTACTATCAAGGTCTACATATTGGCCATAGCCGCCCACCAACCACCTGATTCTCGGTCCACTAAGCTTTTCTCTCACTCAACTCTCAAGAGATTTATGAAAGGTCTGCAGAACATCAGGCTGCCATCGCAGCAAATTGTTCCCCAATGGTCACTTCAGTTAGTTCTTGAGGTGTTAACTAAGCCTCCATTCGCACCTATGGTCACCTGCAATGAAAAACTATTCTCCTTGAAGACGTCCTTTCTGGTCGCGATCACTTCCGTGAAGACAGCCAGTGAGCTAGCTGCCCTGAAGTCTGATCCCCCATACCTTCAACTTCATTCTGATAAAGTAACCTTGTAGTTCGATGTCTCCTTTTTTCCAAAAGTAGTATCGGATTTCCATCTCAACCAACCAATAGTACTTCCGACATTGTTTCCCTCTCCATCTAACACGGTCGAGTGCAAGCTTCACACTTTGGATGCAAAAAAGGCTCTAGCCTTCTACTTGGATAGAACAAACCACTTCAGGCTATCACCTAGATTGTGCATATGTTATCAGGGAGCTAACAAGAGGCGCTTCTGCTTCTGCTCAATTGATATCAAGGTGGATAGTTCAAACCATACAGATGGCATACCAACTCTCAGACAAACAGATCCCGGACCACTTGAAAGCACATTCTACCCAAGCAGTTTCAACGTTGACTGCTCTGCATCATGGAATACAGATACAGAGTATCTGTAGAACAGCAACTTGGTCCAGTCCACTGACATTCGCAAAGCACTATCGCCTCAATGTCAGAGCAAAGAACGATGCCACATTTGGAAGGGTGATACTGTCATCTCTGCTGCAGTGATGACCCTCCATCTGGTAAGTTAGCTTGTCAATCACCCAATTGTGTGCATTCACAGAGGCCACTACAAAGAAAGACAGGTTACCTACCTGTAACCATGGTTCTTCTAGTGGACCTCTGTGAAATCACACATCCCTCCCTTCCTCCCCTCTATCCGTCACGTTGCCTTTTTAGATACCTGTTATACTTAGTAACGGCGGACTACAGGGAACTGAGGGGAAGACTGAGGAGGCGGAGCTCGCGCCTGGGGGGAACTAAATTGTTACTCTTTTTAAGCTCTAGAATTTTCCGAACATCCTGTGCAGGAACAGAAGAAACCCAATTGTGTGAATTCACAGAGGTCCACTAGAAGAACCATCATTAAAGGTAGGTAACCTGTCTATTTCTTACTACACTGAGAGGGCTTCAAGTAGCTAGAATTGGCTATCCTTTTAAGATCTTGGCCTTATTGTTGAACTGTGAAATCAACAATAACACAATTGCTTCTGAACATGACACTGGTCCTGGGGAGCCTCAGTGTGAATGTTTCTGCAGGGTTTTGTGTAATGAGACAATTTAAAGTGTGTTTGGTGTAAGAAGTTTTGAGCATGACCAAACACACACAAAGGCATGTGCCTTCTATATAGTAGTGAAGGTAGCAGAAAAAGCATCATTTTGAAATTTCAATTTATGTGCCTGTATTCTTCTTTAATAGGTTGTCACCCAAGCTACAGAACAGTCATACTTATATCCTTGTGCATAAGCCTGTGGCTAAAGATTTAATTCCATTTGTCTAACAAAGTAGGTGGTAATACCTATATAAAAGCTCACACTATCAGTGTTTAGGTTGTCACAATACTGTTGTTAGATGGAGTAATTACAAAAGTACTTCCATTTGGGGTAGGATGCTTGTGAATGTATTTGTTTTCTTGCATCATACGAATTCTCAAGAAAGCGTAAGTGAAGGCCTGAATATGTTGTTGGACTACAACAACAGCATTCCTCATGACTGGCTTTGCTGATCATGAATTGCATGCCAGCAACATCTGGTGGGTACTTTGCCAACTCTGGCCTCAATCCACTTCAGCATATGTTAGCCTCAATTTTCCTGATATAGGATCTTTATTTAGAGAGGGACAAAGGCTGCAACTATTTTGCTTTTGTGTTGCTAAGCAGTTTTCAATTCCCCTGAACATTGTATTAATGGCCAGCTCTATGAATTGTAATAATTGTAATATTTTATTATTTTGTTGTTGCTCTTTTTCATCAACTGTTATTTCCATGCTATTTACCACTGTAAACTGCTTTGAGTTTCTTTCTCCTTTGGAAACTGAAGGTCAATATTAAAGTTTCTTCTGTAAATAAATAATGAAATAAAAATAACCCTATTGTGATCTATTGGAACCAGTAAGATTCCACGCCCCATTAATTTCTGTGGGTCTATTTTAATTACACTTGGGTAGACTTGTCAATATATTTCTGTACAAAGAACTTTGGAAAAAATTGTTTGGAAGAACTTCAGCAGAAACAAAGGATTGATACACTAGAACATTATTCCTCTTTTTGTTTTGTACAGAGATCTGAAAGGTGTGATAGTCACATTGAATGATAGTGGCCATCTACAATGCTCTTACCTTGGTACAGATCCTTCTTTATTTCAAGCTCCTAAAGTTGAAGCAAGGGATATAAATTATGAAGAATATGATTCAGAAATGAATAAACTTCAGAAAATCATCAAAGAAGCCAAGAAATTTAAAGGTATATTTTATTTTTATTTTCACTGTATCAGTTGGCGCTGTCATTTATATTAACTACCGACTATACAATTTAAACAGAGATCTTAATTATTCTCTGAAGAGCACAGATTGTTATGTTATTTGGAGGCAAATATATCAAAATTTCTCAATAATGCTTATTATTTAAATTTATTCAAAGAAGAAGTATAATAATAATTGTGTGATATCAAGTCAATTCTGACTTGTTCAAACATCAGACTTCCTGACCTGACACTATGTCACACAGGCTTTTAAAAATCTATTCACTCAGTATATCTAAGTCATGTTGGAACTAACAAATTTTTAGGTAAACAATTTTTTGTAATTTTTTGCATGTTACTTCAAATAGTTAATGGAATACATACAGTGCAGTTTATTGTTACAGTCCTTAGACCAATCACACAGGGAGAAAAAGATAGACCTTGACAGTTTCCAAAATTCTAAATACTTTGTAAAAACATTTGGCATTAAAAGACAATTTAAAATCTAGTACCTAGTAAGATTGTACACTATACTATGTATTTATTCTATGTACTTATTTTTGTATAATCGGGTTGACAACTGCATAATAAAACTTACTTACTTACTAGTGTCTAGTTACCATGGAATTTCCAAGACCTGAGTATCGCCATACAAAATCTGGCTACTTGATAAGTGATCTTGGAGTCTATATCAGAAAGAAGAAACTTGAGTCTAATTTTTTCTGAATGGCCAGGAATTGTTTTGGTCAGTGGGGTGATGATCTCGTAATGCAGGCAGGTGAATAACATGTGCTCTATAGTCTGAACCTCTCTTAGGGGACAGGTACAAAGCCTTTCAGCAAAAAGAATATTCTTGTACTTCCCTTCAGGTACAGTGGAAGGGAGGGCCAAGCACTTTGCCAAGGTGAATGCTCTTCTAAACCCTTTTACTTCCAGAGATGTTAAATAGTTTGGTGCTTCCCCAAAGTTTTTGATATAGTCCTCACTTTAGTATTTTGTATGCTAGAAAGGTCAGTTTGTTCTATATCCTCAATTCTGTACTTTAATAGTTTTTTTACCTGATCTATTCCATAAGATTAGAGAGCCTGATAGGAAAGGCCAATTTTGAACAAGTAGCTTTGGATAGAAATGGAATATATAAGTATAAGACATTGGCCCAAATCCTCTTCTATAGCTGTGAAAGTGGCATAATCTATAGAGGCAAATTGCCCCAAGTAAAGAATTGTATAAATATTATCAGTTGGATGCTGTCTCATAACTCAGTATGCAACAGATAATTCAATTCTTTAAAAAAAACACCAGGCAGGTTTATGAATGTAGGATATTGTGTTTCTTTACCCATGATTCAGAAAGCCAAGAAACTGACCGATATTGTTGCAAAATATCTGCCCATGTTGCCAGCAAGAAAAAAACAACAGCCCTAGCAGTTGCTTTGTGTTTGGGTGAGTCAGGATGTGAGGCTGAGGAGCCTGACCCCGAGGGAGGCCCGAAAGGAAAAAAGAAGAAATCGGGCCTTCTCGGCGGTGGCTCCTCGCCTCTGGAACAACTTGCCTCCAGAGATTCGTGAGGCCCCGTCGCTGGGCATTTTTAAGACCCATCTAAAAACGTGGATGTTTAAGCAGGCCTTCCCTCCAGATAACACTTAATCTTTCTTTCTTTATCTGTTCTTTGATATTTTTGCCATCTTGAAGAATTTGCTTATTGTTTATTTCTTACTGTTTATTGTTTATTGTTTAATGTCTATTTTTGTCTATTTTTATTTTTTGTTATATGTATATGTTATTATATTTTTATCTGTCTGGAAGCCGCCTAGAGTGGTCGCTTTGACCAGATAGGCGGGAAATAAATAAATAAATAAATAAATAAATAAATAAATAAATAAATAAATAAATAAATAAATAAATAAAATGGTGCTTCGACTTACGACCATTTCAAGTTAACGACCAGAGTTCCAGAACCAATTAAATTCGTATGTCGAGGCACCACTGTACAGTATTTTTATTAATGACTTGGATGAGGGAGTGCAGGGAATGCTTGCAAAAATGGCAGATGATACATAATTGGGTGGAATAGCTAATACCCTAGAACAGGGGTCCAACACTCCTGGTCCACAGCACAGTGCCGGTCCGTGGCCTTGGCCAGACTGGGCCACAGAGACAAAACTTCTCCCCCCCCCGCATGCACAACCTGTCTAAGTGCTGTTTAAGCTGCAAGTGCCTGGATTGCAGTCAGTCCTGAGGCAGTCTTTCTATCTGTGGAGTCAGCTTCTGGGATATTCTCTTGAGTGGTGTCAGATTGTGAATGGCAGTGGTGTTGGGAGACTCCTGTTCAACACCTTGACCATTAGCCTGTGGAGTGTCCCAGGGTTCCATGATTCCCCATACTATTTCATATATATGTGAAAAACCTAAAAGAGGCTATCCAGAATTTTGTGGTCTGGTACCACTAATGAGCCGATGATAGCCAACTCCATCTGCTTTTTAAGTTTTTCCAAAAGGCCCTTTTCTCAGTCTCTCAGACCATAGTGTGTGGGTACCCCACCCCCAATGTCACTGTAAAATCTACAAGGAATCAAATATGGGGATGTATAATCTCGAGGCTAAAAGGAAGGTATCTCAAAATGTCAAATGCAGGGGAGTGGTATCAAGAGATAGATATCTAATTGACTCGTGCGCTCCCAGAGGCATCTGGTGGGGCCACTGTGAATACAAGAAGCTGGAGTAGATGGGCCTGTGGTCTGATCCAGCAGGGCTCTTGTTATGTTTTTAAATGTAATTTTGCCTTCGGGCCTCTTTTAATCCTGAGTTAGTCTTTTTTAGAAACTGGAAATGACAAGCCTGTTTCTGACTAATCACTGTTCATGTGTTGCATTTAAACAGCAAATGGTTCTCCCAAGATTTCTATGAAAGTGTACCAGATTTTAAAATTACACTTCAGGAATTTCAAGGTTATTCGTAACACTTACTAAAAAAATAAATTAAATTAGTATTCAATAATAATAAATATACAGTATCAAAATACGGCTAGAAATTTGTTTCAGAATTATGCATCATTTTCCAACACTCAATAAACTATCACTAACTTCATAAATTACTTGGTGGTTTCCTGTTCCTTACCCCCCTTTTTTCTTTATCTATTCTTTAACAAGTTTACAATTAAGGAATTGTATATATGTGAGAGGGATTGCTATGTCTCTGCCTGTTTTTCTTTTGATGTATTGAAATAGTCAACTAAATTTACTAATTCCCTGTTTCTTGCAGACATTGTGCCTAAATCTGGAAAAAATGAAGATTTTGTACTTGTTGTGAATGTCTTGCCTGATCTGGACTCAGTATCTGTACGTACACTTGGAAATTACTCTAAATCCACTGTCATTGTAGCATAATAGGATATTCTTTCCCTTCCTATTCTCTACAGCCCTCCAAACCATCTGAAAAGCTGCTCCTGAATTTGCGAACCCACGAGAAATCACCCTGGACACCTTCCCACCCCCAGAAAAAAAAACATACATTATTAACCTTTGGAGTTTTATTTGTGGGGGGAAATGACAATGGCTATAAAACGGCCACTGCTTGAATTGGCTGCAGCAGAATATTATTGGGTATAGCATAAGGAGCAGATTCCTGCATCAGATGACCTGCCTAGCAGCTGATGCCTCCCATCCGAATGCATTGTTTGGTAACCATGGCATTTGGTGAGCAAAGTGGATATGACCCCCCCAAAAAAAAATCCTGTGGGGAACTGCGGCAGTTCTCCCAAGTGCAAATCCACTAGGGTCGGGAGAGACCTAGTTCAAACTGTGCAGAACTGTGGAGGCTTTGCTAAGCCAGGCATGTTCTAATCCCCTTGTGGTGGGGAATCCCTTGCCTGTGATAAGGCCAACTGCCTGTCTCCCTCACTGAGGATCTGCTCCTATGCATCAAATTGCCAGTAAAGGGGGTGCCTGTTACCCCACCCACCTTCTGCCAAATTATTGCTGCTGCATCCACTCCAAGAAGCCTCCCCTAATATCCTTCAACCATACCTCAGGATCAGAGTCTGAAAGATGCACCCTATCATCCCTGTAAGCCCCAAATTTGTGTGGACAATGTCCCAATGATGAATCTGCAAGCTGCCACCCTTCTTGACATTATGGCCTGTTGCTCAGGTCACCTTCTGGCGTGCCAAATCTACCCTCCTAGGATTCACTGCTCCCCGCCAAACCTGCCTCAGACCATGTCAATGTTGCATTGAGCAATCCTAGCTGAAGTCGTGCCAGGTCCTCTTACATAGGTGCTATTAGATCAAGCTTCTTATATGCTAGGTGATATAATTTTCACTTACCTGGATCAAGACCACATGGGGGCAATAAGTGTTGTAAGTAAATCTTCATTGTAAGCATCAGTGCCTCACTGTGTGCCATTTTGGAATCAATGCCTTCCATTTTTTTCCTGGCTTGTTTGGTAGAACCCTAAGTCATTGGACAGAAAGGACTCGGCATAGCTAGCTGCTGTGTCTGAGTTTCCTTCTTTTTCCTTGGTGTCATCTTTATCTAATGAGAAAAACATGGCAAAGCTACCCTGTAGCCCAGTGGTTCTTAACCTTGGGTGACTCAGGTGTTTTTGGACTGCAGCTCCCAGAAGCCTTCAGCATCAGCTGTGCTGGCTGGGGTTTCTGGGAGTTGCAGTTCAAAAACACCTGAGTCACCCAAGGTTAAGAACCACTGCTATAGACGATGTAAGAATGCTATGCAATATGTATTTCTTTTTATAATATTTATTTATTCATTTATTTATTTCATTTTTATATATTTATTTCATCTAGCCAAGGGTCACTTTAGGTGGTTTACAGCAACACAGCAGCAGCATAATTAAAATACATTTATGTAAATAAACATTTTAAATGATGGAATTGATCAGATTAAGCCTAGATAATATGTAATTCTTATGTATTTGATGGGGCAGATACTGATTTGCCACCCTCACCTATATGCTCTACTCATATGACACCTCTTAATGAGCTGCCTAGAAAGCCATAGTACCAACTTGGCACTTAAAAAAACAGCCTCCAAATGGTTCCATCTGTATATAAGGAACCTGAATAGTTACAGGGTGGCTGTGTGGCATATATTATAATCCCATGGCCCGTTTATATTGCATTCCCCCCCCCAGTCCCTTGTTTCCCTCCTGTAGGCCTCAGATTCACCATGAATATTCTTATGGAGGGTCTCTCAAACCTCCATAGCAGAGATTTGGAGGAATGGGGAACTGCAGGGAAAAGAGTGAACAATGAAAAACTGGTGCTGCATTTCCTTACTGTAGTGTGATAATCCAATTTTTTGGAGAACCACTTTATACAACTCTAGATACAGGTGTTTTTTTTTGGTAAATTTAAGATTCAGAAGTGGCATTATTACATTCACAATGTGTTGAGAATACAAGAAAAGTTGCTGGCAGCTGATGAAAGGCATAGTAGCCAAGAGTGAACAGAAGGAAGAGCTGGAGGCAAAAGGCAGAATTCATTTTGCATAGAATAAGTTAGGGCTAGATCATGTACACAAATTCAAACACAAGCAGACACATTCACATACAGGCTGGCAGGTATTTTATTCTACAACCTGCCACAAAATTAAAAACGTTTCTTCCTCCTGTTGGTGCCTTCTGTGTTTGGTGCTGGGCTTATGCAGTCATATTCATTATTTCATTTTCTCCTCTATGCTGAACACTCATCCATTCATGGAAAACATGAGGCTTCCCTGAAGAACCAGTTCTTACTGGTTCTTACAGTTACTGTCCTTTCACTAATCCTATCCCAGCCATTTTTTTGCTCCCCCCCAATATCCCATCACAGCCACCACAGTGGCTGCTTTCTGCCCTTTTATTCTGCCCCAGCTCCTTATCCCAAGACCTTCTCCCCAAACCCCATGATCAAAAGAGTGTGCCCCAGTGCAAAACATCGAGAGAGATGTTCTCTTCTTTCAAAAGAAATAAAAGAAATAAACTTATAAATGGGAAACAAATATAATTGCAAATTTCTGTATAACTTCAGAAAGAAACCAATGAATAAATATTATCACTCAAGGCAAAAACTATTTTCCCTCCTGCCAAAAAGGAAAAGAATAGGAAGAGAAGGAGAAAAAAATGCGAGTAATATTTATCTAGGGAACTACATCTCTATTCATGTTTTTCTATGAGTTTCGTTTAGTCGTGTCCTACTCTTCGTGACCCTATGGACCAGAGCACGCCAGGCCCTCCTATCTTCCCCTGCCTCCCGGAGTTGTGTCAAATTCATGTTGGTTGCTTCGATGACACTGTCCAACCATCTCATCCTCTGTCATCCCCTTCTCCTCTTGCCGTCATACTTTCCTAACATCAAGGTCTTTTCCAAGGAGTCTTTTCTTCTCATGAGATGGCCAAAGTACTGGAGCCTCAGCTTCAGGATCAGTCCTTCCAGTGAGCACTCAGGGATGATTTCCTTTAGAATTGATAGGTTTGTTCTCCTTGCAGTCCAGGGGACTCTGAAGAGCCTCCTCCAGCACCACAATTCATAGGCATCAATTCTTCGGCAGTCAGCTTTCTTTATGGTCCAGCTCTCACTTCCATACATCACTACAGGGAAAACCATAGCTTTGACTATGCAGACTTTTGTTGGCAAGGTGATTTTTAAGAGGTTTGTCATCGCTTTCCTCCCAAGAAGCAGGCGTCTTTTAATTTTGTGACTGCTGTCACCATCTGCAGTGATCATGGAGCCCAAGAAAGTAAAATCTGTCACTGCCTCCATATCTTCCCCTTTGATTTCCCAGGAGGTGATGGGACCAGTGGCCATGATCTTAGTGTTTTTGATGTTGAGTTTCAAACTGTTTTTTGCACTCTCCTCTTTCACCCTCATTACAAGGTTCTTTAATTCCTCCTCACTTTCTGCCATTAGAGTGGTATCATCTGCATATCGGAGGTTGTTGATATTTCTTCT